ACGGAGGTAACTGGTAACTGTTAAGCCTGTGGCCTCAAGGAGGGAAACAAAGAAAGTGGAGAGAAACAGATGATGGTGGCACGTACCTTATTGAACTTTTAACTGTAAGCTACAGAACACGGTCTTATGTAGTTGGGATCAAGATCTGAATGGGCATCGGTAAATAAATACGCTTCGAAGTGTCACTTTGTCACGGGGTAATTTTATTCCTGACCCTGGGTTCAGCTTTTGCTTGTCACGTATAATTGAAGGCATCGCCACGATTCAGCTTCTGAACTTTCATGTAGTTATTATTCTTGTGGTGAGGGTTTCCCGCCCTCTTTCGCAGTTCATTGACAGCAAATCTCCGACCTCTACGTGTTAGAAGGAGACCTATATTTGTGTCTGTTATTTTCCTTAACAGTATTTCTTAAGTAGAACTGTCCGTGTCCCAGGTCAATGTATTTCTTATAAGTAGACTATATGGTCTTTGAAGTAGACGCATATCACGAACTGCACGGATCGGTGTCATCCTTGGTAAGTGTTTATGCAGTTTCTCTGACATTAGCCTTTCAGGAAAGACTTCTCCATGGACCTCGTGTGCAGTTGAAAATTTACATGCGTTATAAAGAGGCTTATAACGCACAGAGGAATGTAAGGAGAAATTACATTACTTGCGTTATTTTCGAAGCACGGAATTGTTGTTGTAAGATTTTCACAGTTTTTTTTACGTAGTACCTATTTCGATGGGGCAGAGACCTTCTTGAAAAACTCAGTGGTCGGTCAGTAAATCCAAAAATTCCTCGCTTTGCTTCAAACACGAAGGTTCATTACCATGTCTCTGCCGAAAGTCTAATACACGTCTTCCCACTTTATATCCCTAAAATGCATTTAATATCAGCATCTGCGTCTAAGTCTTCCTAGTGGTCTCTTTCCTTCAGTTTTTCCAACTATAATATGGTATGCATTTCGCATCCTCCCTATTCGTGCTACATGACCGTTTTCTGCAGCATCCTACCCCTCTATCCCTCTCAGGTCAAAATGTTATCATCAGTACAGTCATCAGACGTGTTTAATCCGTTCTTACCTTCATGTGAGAGACCACAGTGTCCACTCTAAAAGCTACTTTTGCTGACATCAGCTGTCCACATTTCTTGATAGAGAGTTGATGCTCGGCGTAAGATACAGTCCTTAATAAGATCTAGGTATTTGTTTAAAACATTCTTTCCGGGCCGTGTATTTCTATATGGTGGATGCTCGACGAGTAACAAGGTAAGATGGTTTGAGGATCTGTGATTGTGACATGTGATGTGTGGTCAGCTGCTGTTCATATCTTCGATAAATGATCTGTACCATAACCAGTGCACGAAGAGTTTGCTTTGAAAACCTAGTTGGAAGGAATAATGTGGGGAGCATCATAGGATAATTCGGAATTAATGTTTCTTTTAAATAAATTTATTTTGGAGATGTGAATTGGTTTGAACTGGCACATGGTAGGATAATTACTGTATTTTACGACGAATCATCTGACTCCATAATGGAGATATTTTTAATCAGATAAACTTGTGGAAGAAGGCTGTATCGTGGAGCGAGTGTGTGTAGAAATGTTAAACATTTCCCACGAGTTATCTCTTTTAAAAAGCACTTAAATCTTATGATCTGGATGTATACGGAGTTTGAGTTGGTCAGGTGAAAAGACGTGTCCAGCCATCATCAACTAACTTTTAGTGGCTTTTTAACAGTGCAAATAATACGTTGCAGCGGAAATACTTCATTGATACAACGTAATGAGTCTTACGTGATCCTACAGTTTTAAAATTATACCCTGCAACGTGACCGTGCCCGCTAATCTTTTTTCAACGTTTCATCCCACTTGTGGTGTTGAGTAACGAATGAGATTTCTGTGGTAACCGAATGCCCTGTTAATAATGTATGGCGTTTATACGTGTCGCAAATTTTAATGGAATTTTTTGTTTTGTCCAAACTGGAGTTCGCAGGGGGAGTTACATTGTCTTTGTTCACTAACGCGATTTTGCGGACATGGTTTGATTAAATAATTAGCACGGTAGAATGCGACACTGTTTTCTGGAGGATATCAAAAGGCCCGACTAATGCTTTAACCTATGCTGTGGAATGTATAAATACTGTCGCCCACTGATTCATTTTTTGTTACGTAACGCGTTAGCAGTGTAATGGTATGTAGAGTGGACGAGAGTGTTTGATTGATTGATTGATTGACTCATCCATACATTCTTAGGTTATTTAATGACGCAGTATCAACTGCAAAGGATATTTAATGGCGTAATACATTTAAATGTGATTCTGAATTGTGAGGGAATAAAGGTTTTGAAAGAGGCGATTGCAGCTTTGCCAGTTCTGAAGCAATGCCTCTGCATTTCCCTGAAGAGAATACTGAGTAAAACCACATATTCCGTCAGGATTGCCGGTTAACTCAGTCGAAATTCGAAATGTGTACCTCCTGAATACAGCTTTCGAGAGTTGGCTCTAATGCCTTCTTTTGGTGGTGGGTTGTCATTATACTGATTGAATCTTTATAATTTTTATTGGCGATATTTGGCGATTGTGCGCAGGGATTTCATTTAGTTGATAACTCTACTACCAAAAATTATATACAGAACTTTTTTTTACAAAATTGTCTGTACCGCATAGCCTAAGTTCCCTTGCTCTACCTGTAACAATTTCCATTATAAGAACGAAAGATCTCGACATGAAGCATGTAATCGTGTGTAATCTTTGAGATGTGGCAGAACATAAGAATATCCCCTGCCAACACTTGACACTGTAAGCTAACGATTTATAACTTTCCACAAATATAATAGCCTATTCTAAGTTAAGAGTTTCCTAATCCTCTTGACGTCGCACCAGAATGTATCCGGTTCCTTACATCACATCGAATCACGTAAAACTACATGTCGAAATTGACTTGTGAGATACATTATAGTAGTTATTTTTGGATGTGTGTGTTATGTTCGTACATATTATGTTCATAACTATTATATTTCGTACTGATTTGTTTCTAATTACCTGGAACCGATACCCTCAACATCGAGGGTAACGTGTTGAACAAGATCTCATTGCTGTTGCAACTAGCGTTATGTGGGCTTATAGGGACGTATTGGAGTTCAAAAAGTCGCGTCACATTCGTGAAAGATCACAGGTCGGGAGTAGCTCTTATCCAACAGATTTGTCCGTCCCCACGTGAAGACGAAGGGAGATTCGTCCTTCGAAGCATAGTGGCTTTTAAGATTTTATTTAAGACTTCGGGCAAAGTCCGAAACAAAAGGAAAGCAGCAGGGTTGTAAAGATTCTTCGTGGAAAATATCAGAGCAGAGCTTGCTTGGTGTTATTAGACGGCAGTTGGACTGGGATTTCTGAGGAGAATCTCAGATGCTGTGACTGAAGGTGACCTCCGCGGCTGACAGCCAAGCAGCGTGTCACATTGCCTCTGATTGATGGCTCGTAAGATGAGACACGGCAACAAATTATTGCTTTCCGGACCGCGTGACCTTTGGGGACATTCATCTGAAAACGCCTCCGGTACCGTGCCCAGTGTTTCTGGACATACAGGCACTCCGAGTTAATAGAATATGTGCCTACGTACAGTTCACTACCGGTACATCGACACCGATCGATTGATTCATTGATTGATCGAGCGTAGTTTATTTTACGACGCCTATTCAGCTGCAATGGGTTATTATGTAATGTTGAATAGTTGGGTGGTTCCGAAGAAAAATTGAAAAAGACGGTCGTGGTCGGGTTTACCGTCCCAGTATTTACTTGAAGGACTGAGGAAACGAGGAAAATCCTTTGTCATGATTGACTGATCCGGTATTAGAGCCTTTATTCGGACCCAGGACCTTCCGAAAGCGAAGCGGATGTAGCAAGTACTTGACGGAACGGAACAGAAATTACATGAAGCCTACGCTCATATGACAGGTTTCTTGTCCGGTTTCATGTGACAGCGTTTCAGTAAGGTAAGTATGATGTAATTTGTTTTGTCGTAAAACATAATTTACTCCTGGGATTCGTGTACAGAACTTCGAATACTGCTAGAATTAAGATGTTGTTATTGCTTGAACTCGTCAGTACTCTTATAGGTTGTTATAAATTGTATTTTAATATTTGCATTACAATTTTGTTTTGGAGGAGAACATGTCTTAAGTACAAGTTCTGCCTAGCTGGAGGCTGATATTACAATCGATTTTAAAGTAGTGTGGTGGGAGTGTGTTGACAGCGTTAATTTGGTAATTGCTGTAATGACTTTGGATTCTAAAAACAGGGCAAGGGGATTTATTCAATAACTGAGCAAGTAACTTCTGAACAGGGTCCATGGAGTTAATCATTAATTTAGGCTTCATATAATGGCAACTAGAATTTTTGATCTATTAACTGTGAAACACTGTCGGTAGGAAATGCAAACAACTGATGTTGATTGTGGTATTCTGCGCTGTGACTCTGTGTAATCACGTAAGTGGATATTAACGTTTAAACGTTTTGAACTACATGTAAAGACTACACGGTGTTACAGTCTGAAGGTGGAGGCGATGCGTTCCTTCTAAGCATTGATAATGCCTACAAGACTACATACGAGGTGCGATCGGAAAGTTTCAAGACTGTGTCAATAGAGGGCGAACCGTATGTAGTACGAGCTTCTGCCGCTAAGGGGTTGGGCCTACATTCATAGTGAATCAGTGTGCCAGCCGGCATCATCGAATTAGCATTTGTTTCTTAGTTACGGGCGTTTTGGTAGTGCATTACACCGACCCTCCTGCGATTTCGGAATGGCGTGTGCATCAAATTTTGCACAAAGACTTGCCAAAACGGCTACGGAAACCTATGAAATGCTAAAGCAAGCATTTGGGGAGTCCGCAATGGGTCGCACCTCGTACAAGGTGTCACTACCCAGAAGATTGCAGTCGACACTTTCACATGCCACGCCACAAATGTTGTGTCCGGCTCAGACGTTTACCTGCTGATACCGGCGTGTGTTTGTGTTGCAGCGTCCATCATGTTCGCGTTCGCTGATCAGGCCACCGTGAAGAAAGTGATCAAGGCGCTGCCCCGGGTCGGCGTCGGCATCAAGTACGGAATCCCACAAACAAGGTACGTGCTCTCCCGCCGAAATGCTAATCAGCTCTTTTGCACTGATGACAGAGGCCTTCATGCTACAGACATTTTTGTTGCAACTCAAATTTTCATGGCACGTTTTCCCAGAGCGTTCTATCCCGAATACCTGGGTTCGTGAAGTTTGTGGACAAATTGTTGAGGAAGATGTTTGTAAGAAAATTATTATTATTAAGTGTTCTGTCTTACGACAGGTCCATTGCTCTGCCCAAAAAGAGCTCTCCAGTTGTCCCTATTCTCAGCTTCTCGCTTTAATTCCTGGAACGTCATCTTCTTTCCTTGTTTAAGGTCGTCGGTTAGCTGTATCAATCTTCTTCCTAGTCCTCTCTTTCCTTCAACCTGGCCTTCGGTGATATCACTCAGTAACCCATTCCTTCTCATAATATGTCCCAGCCAGTTAGCTTTCCTTCGTGTAATCGCCTGCAGAATGTTTCTTTGCTCGTTGACTCTCCTCAATACTTCTTCGTTGGTCACTCGATCCGTCCACCTGATCTTCTCTATTCTTCTCCAACACCACATTTCAAAACTCTCCAGGTATTTCTGTTCCTTCTTCCTGAGTGTCCAAGTCTCTGCTCCATACAGCGCGACACTTCACTAGTTCCTTCTTCATCTCCAAATTACACTATCGGGACCTTTCTAGTTGTTATTAGCGTAGTGTTGTTAGAATAATAAAATCTAGAATGATTGAATGGATGGAACGTGTAGGGCGTACGGGGGGGAAATCACAACTGCATACAAGATTTTGGTTTTTCCGCGCTCCGTTTAGGCTAATACCTTCCTCAGTAGTAGAATTTTTCTTCCAAGAATTATACTGCTTATCATTCATGATTGTCTTCCCGTCTCATTCGACTTTGTGTAGTCTCTGCAGTTGAAAATCGCTGTTAAGGAAGCCGATTTATGGCGTGATACTTAGGCACAGAGGAACGTTTGTGCGATATAGCAGTTTGTCCATGCTGCCAACTCAACACGGTTTGCACATTGAATTACTCTCTGTTTCGATTTATATTTCTGAGGAATGGGACATATGTCGCTGCTGTGATGTTCCTTACTCCGAGTGGGTTGTATAAATAACCTGACAAATACCGCGAAATGGAAGTGATCGACGAGAAGAGGTAGCTCGCGTTTTTATTTCCCCCCCCCTTTCGAATTTAGATCTTGTGTCCGTCAGTTTGTCTCCCCGCTCGTTTTATTTGAACGCATTTATATTTGTGCGAGACAAATTGCAGGCTAATTGAAGTAGAGTGTTTCATCAGTTAGAATAGGGCTGCACAAACAGATATGTATCCTGGCCACGCTGGACTTAAAGCAGACGCGGGGAGGCACTGCATACACTCATTGCCCCATCTGCCATGTTTTGTAGAATATAATGCACTCCTGTGTATTATGTAGCATTTTCGTTTTATTATATTTGTATGCCATTTTGTTGTGGTTTTAAGATGGATGCGTATTTGCAGTGAATGAAAGCACCAGCGAAGTGTGCAGAATGTCAAAGAAGTTGCTTCTGTTTGTTTAAGGCGCGCCTCTATGATGTCTCCCCGTCAGCTGATGAGGAACTCGAACATGACTCAGAAGTGGCAGCGTCGCGAGATCTCGAACTTCGAGTACCTCATGTTCCTCAACACAATCGCAGGTCAGTTCTTTTGTGAATTTACGACAGTACAGAGGAACTGTACGAAGAAAGCTAAAGTTCTGTGACAATGGTTGATACGTTATACTAATATTAACCTTTTACATCCGAGTGGTAACTATGTTTACCACGTGGGTTATCTGAAAAGGGATTGTTTACATAAATAGCATTTACAGGATGAACTTTATAATGGCGAAGTGTTGTGTTTTCTTTGAGGTACGTACTCGATGAGCGTTGACTTTTCGACACACTCCATCAGGTTGTAAAGGACGTTTCGGGTATTGGCGCTACTTCCACAATTAAGTGGTGGTCATTGTAATGGGAATTCGTTTCTTGTACGATTAATGGCTGCGATTGGATCGAGAAATAGGCCGGTTTAATTTATACGACGTTTCGGGTGCACGTTCCTTATAGCCTGTCAGGTCAGTGGCGACAGTTAGGATCGAAAATAAAATCTGCCAGTGTAATAACAGCCAGTAATCTGAATAAGGGAGTACATTCGTCTACTAGAACATCGTGTTTTGAACCACAAATGGAAACACAAAAATGAGCCCGCTATTTTTGCGTTGAGTCCACGGAAAGATTGTGGTCGAGGTGTTCTGTTACTTTGGGCTTTTAGATGAGGCCTGCCTGTTTCCAGCAGTAATGGCTGGGTCCTTTAAGTAAGACGGCGACGGTGTACTTGAGAAGTAGGAACGGTGGGCCGTGCATTGTTTTGCATAATTGTGTCGTGGCAGGTTCGCGTGATCCACGGTAACCACTCCAATAATTTCTTATGTCCATTACCAATGCAATAAGGGGACAGTTCGGGACATCGGCTCCCTCGCTTTCTGCCGTCAGATGATTGATCGTTCCTTTGTTTTTGTTGTTGTCATGCCACCCTGCGTGTAATTGTCGTACGACGAATGGTATAGGTTGCTGGAAATTCTGAATAAGGCCTATTTGTTATTCCAGATAAAGGCACTGAACTAATTCTGAATAGGAAATGACGTATCCTCGTTTTCCTTACTTAGGACTACGTATTTAATGACGTTTGTTTGGAAAGTTATTAATCTAAAATAATTGGATTTTACGTAACTGGACGTCACAGCCTTGTCTCCGTTTCTTGTCCTGCGTTTCAAGGACTCGTGGCAACGTTCTTTGAGTTATCTAGGCGAGACAAAAGGATGTGGTTTGTATAAACAGACTTCGGGCGAATATTGGAGCCCAGGAGGGGAGAATGTGTTTCCTTAAGTTAATGTGGGAGCGAGAATGTATTCGTGGCGGCAATGGCAGGGGGTTCTGTCACCGCGAATTAGGCGCCCAGTACGTCACGAGGTCGCTGCAAGCCGTCAGCTCTCCATCACTACTCCAGCAGAATCCTGGCGTCTGCATCACCTCCCATCTTGTCGATATCCTCACGTGTACGCTCGAGGTAGCATCGAACTGAACACGTGGTGCGTGATGTGCGAACGAGTTTTGTCGTCTTCAGCAGCCTTTCGCAACTAATACAATGAAGAGGTGTCATAGACGTTCTTTGCTCGAAGTGCCCGGAATGATTGGATAATGTCTCATTTCCGGGAATGCTCAGAGGTGGCATTTGCCATTGCTGATGTGCACCAAAAGTTTTCCGACATATTTGATTTTGATTCGTATCAGTCGAATATAAATCCTGAACTTTGGATCTAAGTTTTATCAGATTCTTCAGAGCAGGCTGAAACCACAAAACAATTGGTATCTCCACATCATTAAGACAGATAAATTTGTACCTGTGATTTGTGAATATTGGTATCGTTACTTTAACCTTCGTGAAATTATTATTATGAACTCCTCCTGCCATGGGTTTGCACCCCGCTGCTATAATTTTAAACTGAAGAGCACAAGTATTTGCCTTGCCTCGATAATTCCGATGTGTCGAAAGTTCGACCCCAGTACTCCTATTAACCGTATGATACCGCCTCCGGACGTCCAAATTTGTCTTGCACAGGCCGCCGTAGTCCCGTTCCGGAAGAACAAATAAGAACATATCGTTGAGGCATATCATCCATCAAGTGCGCCCGTACTCATTAATCTTCATCACTTCAACTCTGCCCTTTGTAGCAAACTCTGGCTTATCGTAGTTCAAGTTTGAGGGAGGACACCAGTAGATTGTACTCGCATTTCGTTCAGTCTTTGTTTCTTTCTGTTTATAACTAACTCCATGGAACAGAATTCTCCTCGAGACGTTACTAGTCGCTCAGCTAGTTAAGAAATTGTCAGTCTTTTATTTAACCCAAAGGATCTTCACAAAGTTTACAGGCGTCTGCCACTGGGATGTGTATCTTGAGTCAGTTCAGTTCGGTTCATTCCTACGTGACTTCTTTAATGTCAATTTTAATATTATTGTCACATCTGCGCCTAGGTTTCCCAAGTGGTCTCTTCAGATTTTTCGACCTCTCTCGTTAACCTTGCTTATTTTCCCCGTTCTCCGCAGATTTCTTCGGGTTTTTTAGGTCCAGATGTTCTCTGCCTTCAACTTGTGGTTTCCCTTAAAGCCGGAGACCAGGTTTCGCATTCGTGACCCCGTTCATATTCGTACTTGTGTTTTTAAATAGGATACGCGATCCCGATCTAAGTGGTAAGAAGCAGTTCCCGGCCTTCATCTGCTCATAATTTCTTCGCGGATGTAGTTCTGTTTTCTTATTGTCGTTCTCGCGTGTTTAAAACAGTTCATTAGTTGTCTTGATGTTATAACTATTGGCAGTGACAGTTCAGGATATGATACGTGGTGCTGTGCGGTGAGCATTTCCGGAGTATCGAGGCTTGCTGGCGTCGTGTCGTGTGTTTCGGGTCGTTCCGTTGCAGCGTGCGCCCTCTGATGGATGCATTGTCTGGCCCTTGGAGACAACGGCAGTCGCCTTCAGCCAAGAGTTACTTTCCAACTCTGTCGAATGTTTTAAAAACAATCCTTATTACGCTTTTGCGCGTGTTCAACCACACGAACGCATGTAATGCGTGGAAATAGCGACCGTTGGTCTTGTGAAGGAAAAGAAAAATTGATGGAATTTGAGACTAAAGGTTTGAGGAGAATATTTTGGCCTAAGAAACTAAAAGCAGCATCTACGTCGACCATCCTCATAAATTCTTAACTGTTTATCTAACGAAAAAAGATATGTAAAATAGTTACATTTTGAGCTCGAGTTATGACCAACCGATAAAGGTAAAAAAGATGTACAGTAGCCATATCATCAGAATAAACACCGCATTCCTACCTGCTTTTGTTTCATTGTTCTGTGTAAACTTCTAGTGTTCGATCTATAAAATGTCTTGCTTGGATCAATAGCCAACTGTCAGCTATTCAACGAAGACATTCTTCCGTGAAGTTAGTTACTTGTAAGTTGGTTTATTTCCCTTGGTACCAAATCGCGTTTTTCGTCGCTAGCAAACAAATAATTGTACGAATGTATCGATCTCGTGATTGTCTTCGGGCTTCGATTCCCGGCAGGGACAGGATGTATCTCTTTGCCATCGGGGGATAGGAAGTAATTCTGACTATTCGTATCCATTTAGTACTAAGGTTAAGAATGTGTGTTCCAGCGTTCATCTCCACTGCGTGGTGCGTGATTAAGCACGCGGATCACCGTGGCTTTTTACCGTCAGCCGTACAACACTTCAAGTAAATATAATGTAGTTATGGCTGTAAGAAAATTGCTTTCGTTGTAACATTTCTTGTGTGACAATAAAAATTAGGCTAGAAAGGCCATCGGTTCTTTTCGTTGATGAACAAAACGTCCAGAAAAGTCAAATAGCGTGCTCTACCGGCAATAAAAGTGCGTCGAACACGAAGATCCACTTAACAGATGATAGCAGAACTGCTTATGGAGTCTTCGTATCTGTCGACATTGAGCAGGGGATAAAGAAATAATATTAATTGCTGTCTGCAACGGTTATCGGAGTTGATACGAAGGGCAACGGAGTGGGGTAGATACAGAACACTTTGTCAGCCCGAGAAATTACTCACTAAGTGATTTAGAGCGCTAGTTGGCGGTTACATTGCCGCGTATCTTAAGTTAACGGACCAGTCGACTCGTAACATTTTTATTTCGATGATGCCACGTGTTATCATTCACACAGACAAGCAGAAAGGTCCGTTGAAATTCAACGGGGAATGGTTTCTTACGTGTCTTCATCAGTCCAGTCTTCCTTTCGCATCCCTGCTACGTCATTTGACGCAAGTTGAATTTGCTTCAATTTCCTGTTCCTGTAAGATACGCCGTGCCATCTATTGCGAGGATTACGAAATTACATAGCACCCACGGGCTGCACAACCAAACACCAAACTGCCCTTTATTCAATACAGACATGTAGAGTGGTCAGATTTGTAACAATAAATTCATATTTGCACTAGAAGCGCTTAAAGACCCATGAGGAAAAGAGTACAGCATTTTAAAAACAGGAGTTCTCAAACTGCGCTCGAAATTCGAAGACCCATGAGGAAAAGAGTACGGGATTTTAAAAATAGGAGTTCTCAAACTGCGCTCGAAATTCGAGTATAATTTCGATTCTTGCGTTAATGTATTTTTTTTAAAACACTTGTGGGGATGTAATTAACGTCTTCAGCGCACGGTGTCTGCACATTCAGTGAAATGCTGTCAGTATGACGTCTCAATAAGAACAAGACGCATGCCGACACGAAGGAACCTCTAAAAACTGCATCGACAAGAATGTTGTAACACCCGGACTCCATAAACCATAATGGCAGTCCCTAACAATCTAACGATCCAGGCGGAAGTCTTCCTAATTGTGTAGTAGTGCGAGAAGAAACTTGAGACAGCTGCAGAAGGACACAACCGCCTCAAGAATAAAGCAGTCGTCAACAGTTAGACACCTCAACCCTGTCAGTGACATTTGATGACCGACTGGTGGGTTATTTCAGTGGTATTCAACCGTTTTTGTTCGCGTACCCCCCAGATATAATTTCTCTTCAACTTTGTACCCCCAAAGTTGTTGGTGTATAATTCAAGTTATACATAGTATATAATCTACATATAAAATAAATTAAATAAATTACATTACTGATTATTCAGTGTTTATCATAAAATAATATATAATTTTAAATTTCACGTACCCCCTAAAATGTCTTCGCGTACCCCCGGTTGAATATCACTGGGTTATGTGATGACGTTTTGAACTTGGAGAGTTATCGTGGATGGTAACTTATTAAAGATCGGGAAGGAGATGGACAATCATTAGTCCTAAATACAGTGAATCCAAAAAGTAACGCAATGTAATTCCGGGGAAGGTGGGGCCTCTTATTCCGTCCTAGTATTGTTTTTCAGTTACGCGCTAACATTTGTGGAATGTGCTAATATCCAGTGGTACCGGGGTTCTATCCTCGGAGGCAAAACGGCATTGGAGTGAAGCTAGTCACTCACATTTTTCTAATGCCGAGGCTAAGAATACGTGGAGCTGAACTGCCGCCCCGTATACGTCGTGCATGGTACAGGCAGGTGGATGGAGTATCTTAGGAATGTGTAAAATAGCAGGCGGGTCTTGGTTCGAATCTTTCGGAGGGCTCCTTCCTGCCAGTGTGTTTGTATATTCCATTTGACGAGTGTGAAATTTCCTCATTCATTTCTTGTGGCTGTAGTTCGAGGGCCAGTTGGATGTAACTGTATGCCGTACAAGGCGACGGATTGAGCATAAATCTAGCTCAACAGCGGTTGTCTCATGTAGAGACCATTAAATGATTAAAATAGCATTTTGATAAAAATTATAGCCTAAAGAACAATGTTCTTGAAATTAATTAACCTGATCTTGTAATGTGGTTTTTTCGGCCTCGCTCTCTGTTGTGTGCCCGGCAAACAGTCGGCCTTTTCAAAGGCGCACAGTCCCGTGTTTTGAGGGGCTGAGAGACGGAACACAGACCCCCATACATACCCTTCATTTCCGAGGCCAATTACGTAAATCAACGTAGGCTTGCGTCCATAAACATGTCTCAGAACTAAGGTTCCCCCGAGCTCTTGTTCTGGAATCCTGAAAAGAGAATAAATTATTGGGAGTGTTGGATCGGCTGGAGCAATATCGGAAACGTGCATGTCGCGCCCTGGGAATTAAAGGAAATGTTTTAGTTGTATTCTGACAACGTTATTAATTTTGTTTCAGTTTGATTTTGAGAGTAAGAAGGACGTACGTACCTCCAAAAATCTACGAAATATGTTCTCGGGCATAGACATAAGACGTGTCCGGTTATGTGCATCGTCTTTCTACGCAGTCGCACAGACTGTCATGAATTGTGGGATTCTTATCCGTTCTTTACACGGAATTTATTAAATTGACGAATTGCGAGAAGGACGTGTCTGTTCGACTGTGTGCGCCATGTTGCTTTTAGATCGAATTCTTTTCCAAGATGAACGAAGTAGACGACGACATTGTTTCTAATCCATTCTTGTCTCTCCCTTATCTTTTTGGGACACTCTATATCAGTAGTATTCAACCTGGGGTACGCGAAGTCATCTTAGGGGGTACGTGAAATTTAAAAAAAAAAATTATGATAAACACTGAATAATCAGTAATGTAATTTATTTAATTTATTTTAGATGTAGATTATATACTATGTATAACTTGAATTATACACCAACAACTTTGGGGGTACAAAGTTGAAGAGAAATTATATCTAGGGGTACGCGAACAAAAAAGGTTGAATACCACTGCTCTATATGAATGCAGGTCTTTATATGTGTGTATGCAAGTAAGTTGTGATGCTGAAAACATGGACAGGCCCACATATGGCCATTGCGTTCACTGATAAAGTTGAACGCAAATGTCACTTTCCGGATATCGGCAGGAATTGCTGCAAGGAAGGGAAGTTGATTTCTTTGTTTATATGGAGCGGTAAAATCCTGTAGTGCTTTGCAGTTTTAAGCATTTTATGCTACGTAGGAATAGGCAGTTTTGTGCGAAGGATTCTTTTTGGATTTTATCTTGTCGCAGCTGTCTCATTCTCACAAGCATTCTTTAGTCAATTTGGAGGGCGGGTGAAAGTTAGGGAAGGAAAACAAATCAAATGCGGGTCTCGACGTGTGTTGGCAAACTGTTGGCCGCGTTCCTATCAACACGCATTGTCAGATGCAGATGGGAGCTTGGTACTCCAAGGCAGCCAAGCGGGTTTGCATACCAAGATCTAGATTTGAAGTTGGCTTGGCGTCACTTCCTGCCACTACACGTCGTAGCCACTCTGTGTAGTCATTTGTTTACAGACTCACAGTTACAAGCTCTGACACCAGCCAGATAGAATCTTTGTTATCTGGGGTGCACTGCCATCGAAATGCCATCAGAATCTCTCTCTTCCTATGAGTGAGTTAGTGGCTGACTAATTAGAGTTTTTTTTAGAACCTCAATGTTAGACGTACTTAATATATAACAGTACGTGGAAAGATCATACGACGTTTAACGTCTTGCGGATGCTTCGATCCTGTGTTGCGGGAATTATGAATTAATCGTATTCAAACTTCGTGCGTTCCTTCGTTATAGGCCGGTATTCCTACCACCTGAACGTCTGTCAGGAGGAACCAACTCTGATGTGACTTACCATAGACGTGTTTGTATTTTTAAACATGCGATAAAACTTTGGGACAACATTTGTAGTTCTGTTTATTACGTTCCATGTTACCGAGTTTCGCATAGCTAAACTCAGTTGTTAATTAACAAAATTTTGTTGGTTAGGTTTATTACAGTGGGTGATTTTGAAGGATGATTGGTCTGCGGGCTGCACCCAGAACTACTTGTTTTCTTTAGACTGAGTTTATTGTAGGAGATTTCGAACCGCATTTCCTAAACCGGCGATTAAATGTAAAATTGCTGGAACCTGAAACAGATTTGTTCTGTTCTTTTATTTGACAGATTTTGTATTAGCTAACTAATGGAGTAGATTCGTTTCGACACGCTTATGATAAGAAACTCTCTGGCTTTTATATAACTCGTGGGTTCATTACTGTGTTTATAACAGCGTATGGCTATGGTTAGGTTCAAGATTGGAATATTGTTGATTTCCAAGTATTTGCGCCCCACTAGGGTGGTATTAAAAAAGGTTCCATCTTTGACCCCCCAACCGTTGTGTAAAATATTGAAATTAAAAGTATAACTGAGAACCAGTTCTCTGAATACGGGACTAGAGCCAGCTGTCGAAACGTCGTGTTTATCAGACGTACCTCAGACACTTTGCTGCAGTATATGGAGAAATCTTCAGGGAGCCGTCATAGCGCGTTGCTGATAACCACAGAAACGTAAGCCGTGAGCCTCGAACGCTGCCTATCGTTGGCATTCTGTCGCTCGCTCTGCAGGCATGCTCTTGTTTTAAACAGCCTGTTCACTTCATCAGCGTCTTGACTCATCAGCATTTCTACCACTCACTGCTTAAGCAATTTCCTGGGCCATCAAGCATCCAACTTGCAGGTTCGTCCCGTCACTGCGCCAAAACGTAATTGTATTAATAGAACCCACTCTGAGGCAGAGACTTCTTCAGACGGTCCATGTTCTGTTCTTTGTCTTAAAAACGTTATCTAGGTTATGGCTGGTTCGTACTTTATCCAGTAATGATAGGCTATATTAGTTGCATATATTCTTGCCGAAATATCATGATATAAAAATGATTTTTTATATTGGTATTGCCAAATACGTCGAAAATGTGGTGCAGCTGAGACGTATATAGCAACTGCAGTCGTGTTATATCCAAGGGTCTAAGTACGTACTGTTATATAGTCGGCGCAGTAGTTTTTGGCCGGCGGAGCTGGCGGACGGGCCTACTCTGTGTACCTGAGGTGGCACGGTCAGTGTGTTTCTTTTGTTTGGGCTTTCAGTCCGATAAGCTCCTCCGTGCAGTCAGCATTATACTATCGCACAAGTGACTCGCTCCTAGCCTTCCCATTGAAAATTCATGCCTTCTTGTCGAAAATCTTCTTCACATCCCGGAACGTTTTTACGCGTGTTCTGAAAAAAAAATACATTCTAAATCTCGTCATTACAGTTAATACGCATCTGAACTCGAATTCAAAACCTAGTTTTTGCTGATACAAAATTCATAGATAAGAGAAGGTATTACATTGGAAAGCTTTGTATACTAGCAACCATTCTTTGTCCTTTGTTGGAGTTGTTGAACATTCAGGAAATCACAGTCTGTTCCATCGATGACCTGATTTTATGAATTTACAATTCAAATGAAAGAGGCTGAAATCGGACGTAGTGGTTGTCGTATTTTCAAATAAATGTACCTCAGGGTAAGTCATCTTGTTTCAACTCCCCAGTATTTAAAAATCATTGTCAGACAATTTAAAATTAGAATGAAATAAACTGGACGTGATTGTGGTGTCGTGTGTTGAAAAAGGCAATTCTCAAGAATTAAGAGGCCACGAACTATTCCTACGTATGTCATTGAATTAGTTGTACAACATTTATTATTGTTATTATCACAGATTAGAGTATTTAATTTGTTCTGGCTCTGTCTGTAGTTCCTGAGATTTCAATTTTAGTATTTTTAAAATCTGTGAAAGAAATGTTTCTCCTCAGTTCTTCCCTGGGTGTTCCATGGTTCGATACTTATTAGGTAATCAAAAATTGAAATGTTTCGACCTTCTTGAAAGCCAGAACAGAACGCCATTGAACCAGTCTACACACTTCCATGTTATTTCCTTGAGTTTCATTTTAATATTATGCTCCCATCAGTTTGTAGATGTTTACAGCCAAACTTTTGCGTGCATTTCTCATCTCCGTGTGTGTTACATGCCCTGCCCATGTGATCCACCTTGATTTTATTGTTGAATAGAAATCATGAAATAATTTTTGATTTGTTGCTTTTGGAGCAGCGGTATGTTCGTAGTTTTTGTGTAATTTGGTTTCTTTGTTTCGAATAGGCCGGACGTACAATGACTTGAACCAGTATCCAGTATTTCCATGGGTTCTTACAAATTATGAGACCAGAGAGCTGGATCTCAGTCTGCCCAGCAACTATCGTGACCTCTCTAAGGTAAGTCCATGAAAACGTGCGGACAGCGGTTGAGGATCTCGTAAATATTACGCAGCATATACGTTTTAAGGTTTTCGTGGCAAGAATTACGAAGTTTTTAAGTCTTTTTTCATCACAGCATTCTGAAACTTATGAGGTTTCGGAGTGGCAACCCGAAGCAATTTCCTTCAAATGTCAGATATTTCTTTCGTGACGTGAGTATAGTGACTCCACTCCCCCCAAACGCCTACATGGCGTATAGTGGGACAAACTTAACTTTTACTTTTTAAGTGAATTTGGCAGGTGGTGCTCAGTAATAGCTGTCCATTTATGCTCAGCTTACTCAGGTTGCATTGTGTGTGAAAGAACAGCAGATATTTATTAACCTATTTATTGTTTTTGTAGCCAATCGGTGCGCTGAACCCGAGTCGGCGAGCTTACTTTGAAGAACGCTACAACACCTGGGAACACGATAGCATATCGCCCTTCCATTACGGCACACATTATTCCACAGCAGCTTTTGTTCTCAACTGGCTCATACGTGTGGTAAGTTGAAACTTTTTCATTCAAAAATTCTTATTCTCTGTCCATCTGGCATGGGTGAAAGAACCCACACCTTAATTTTGAGCACCCATTTATTGGTTACCGGTTTGGCGGATTTAGGCCGTGTCTCATCGGAACCGCGGCGGCTAATGGGCTCATCGTCTGCCTGTCATCGTCCACAGAGAATTCCACTGCGGTAGGGTGTTCTGTGATGAAGAATCCTTTGTTTTCTTGGCTATCGGTGCTCTTTTTGTATCATGTCCACTGTTTTAATACTCTGTTTTCTGTTAACTCCCTTCACTTGGTTTTCTGACCTACTCTCTTATTCTCTGAGAGGCATCCTATTTTCCATGCATAACCCATGTTTATACTACTGTATTCTTAATTTCAATTTTTTATGCAGTCTTTCTATCTTTGAGTCTTGTCTGATGCCATAGTTAAAGATTGTATCCCTTCATGTGAGAAACTCCACCAGCTAGCAGATATCAAATTGTTTTCAAAATGTTACCCATTCCATACCAATACTCAACATTTCCTGACTAGTTTGATTTACATCTTCTTCTGTGACTTTCTGGTCCGTATTCGGTCCATGGCCTCCTCAATTCTCCTCTTCCATTCGGTCCTCCGTTAGGTCCGTCTGTCCGAGGCTTTGATCGAGGTTTCGAAACATCTTCCTTTTTACGGTGCAAGGTTGTTAGCCTTGCGAACAACCCCCAACCTGGAGGACCAGGGTACCTGTCTTAGTCTGACCTCTCCCCCTCGACCAACCCTACCAGTAGCTCTTGGGGTCACTGAGGTGCTCAAGCCCCACCACCACGAGAACCACCCCAAAATTAGCTCCAGTCATTTGCTTGTACATCTAACTTTTTGTAGTGTCACTAGATGTGTTATATTTTTGTATTACGTAATAGTGACGTGTGTGATTGTAATGGTATGTTAATGTTACAGGAACCAATGACAACTATGTTCCTAGCTCTTCAAGGAGGGAAGTTTGATCATCCGAATCGACTTTTCTCCTCAATCGCGCTGTCATGGAAGAACTGCCAGCGAGATACCTCTGACGTAAAGGTGTGTGTGTGAGACCTTTAAAAGATTTTTATAATCTTTTCTTGTTCTGTAAGACAACTTAGTTCTGCCACAATAAAAACCAATGGAATGTGTACTCCACTAGACATATTTTTCGAAAACATTATTTTCTGTTTCTTATTTTTCATTCACATTAATGTTCATTTGATTCAAATACAGATCTGTTTTTGAATAGCTAATTAATCGCATTACAAGTATCACAGAGTAGAGAATCAGAAATTATTTTACTTGTATTTTGTTAAATAGTTATTACATCTATAAACTTTTCTAACAAAAATTGAAGACATTGTTTGAGATGCATTTATACGTTTACTTTATTCTTCCTTTTTTGAAAAAAGGGTGGGGGGGTATTGGGCACCATGCATGAATTTACTATAAATAATGCTGAAATCAGTGTCTCAGATACAGATTGATTGAAGGTAAGAAAGTATGTGATATGGACAGGCATTAAGCGCTTAATTTGTGTCCAAATTCTGTCGTTTGGTAAATTTCTTTACCGACAATGAAAAGAGTAAATGTCAGAGCGTAAACTAGCTGTGAAATCAGGACAGTAAATATTGCTGGTGTTAAACAGATTACACTTCATCTGTCTTATCATCTGCAGAATTGTTCTCCAGTACACAGTCTCCATCATCTAGAGATCGCAGGTGATCTGAGCCTTATGCAGTCTCCCAAGAGACTTGCTCCATCCTTGTTGACTAGCACCTCAGACACTTCCAACGCCATCGGCAAGATGCGTGTGCTAGTGAACGATGAAGACTTGACACAGCAAGAGCAGTCTAAGAAATTGATTAAAATAACTCTGACATGAAGTTTGTATTATGCAGTTATGATATTTATGCTTACAGGAATTGCTGTCTTGTTGCTGATGAGCACAGAGCCACATACACCGAAGCTTTTGGTCCGTAGTGAAACAATTGACATGTAAGAATCTTTGTTTAACAGATTGTCATTTGTTCCTAGGAGCTGATTCCTGAATTCTTCTTCCTGCCAGAGATGTTGGTGAATGCAAACCGCTACCGCCTAGGCCAACAGGAAGATGGATCCGCAATTAGCGATGTTGAGCTTCCACCTTGGGCCTCGTCACCAGAGGAGTTTGTCCGGATTAATCGCATGGTACGAAAATTAACGCGCGACAGAATTCCCTTTGTGGTATTCATTTTCTCTTGCCTTCGCCTTAAGGACATCCATCTCTGTGGTAACTAACGTACATTAGACATAATGGGATGGTCCATTTTGCAAATAAAGTTTCTGAAAACCACCTGAATATTTTATTAACAAACAAAATAATTTATTTGATTAAAAATAAAATATATGCATTGTCTTTGGGACATAATATTGGACCTTGTTCACACATGACAATCAGAATATCAATCAAATAATAACCCATAAAACAATAAAATCAATGTACTTACGTACGTTAAGAACACATTCTGTTGAATAGAAGTGGTACACCATGTCCTTGAGCAGCATCATACAGAATATTTTGTTTTTTTACTGGCACTTTTATTGCACCGTAGGCTTTGGAGTCTGAGTTCGTTTCCTGTCAGCTGCACCAGTGGATTGATCTAATCTTTGGCTACAAGCAGAGAGGTGAGTCCAATGCAATAATGCAATCATACAGGAAAGCGTATGAAAGGTGATCATTAAGTTTCAGGATCAGTCAACTTGAGGGTGGCAGCAGAACACGTAGCAGCTCACCGCCTGTAACGCTCTGAATACATGCCTTAAGATCTGTTCTCACATGTGTACTTGCATGTTGTTGATCATAGTTTCACGTTCTGTCTACTTGGTGCCAATATTCTGTTTTCCACCTGTCATTCTTTCTGTCTCTTTCCTCACATATTTTCCATCTACAAGCACTGACAATTTTGATCTTTTCCCTCTGGGTTATAATGCAAGCGATTTCGAGAAACCCGTCTAATTTACTTTAGCTGAAGCCTTGAAGATGGAGACAGAGTGTTTCCCTGGAAGTTTGGTTTCTACCTTAACTCCACATATCATGGTAACCCAGAAGAACAATATCGTCGTCTTCACCCCTGTGAGAACCTCATATCTCACAGGCACTGAAAATGTTTCGATGGTCACAATTCTTAGAGTATATGAAATATGCTTTCACAAAGCTGGAGTGTGCAAGTTCTCTACTTTACGGTGAGAACTGATTATTATACCAGACAGCTAATGAACTCCACGGAGCAAAGTTTTTCATTTGAGAAGTTGATTGAATTTATGTTAAGTATCCCATCCTACCATTTGACTAAAGTCCCTGTCGGTCTGTCCGCAGATCTTCATATATAGCTTCTAGGGAAGAAAGGAGGGGAATATGTGGTAGTGGTGGGGGCAGGGGAAATAGAATTGAAACCGAAGCGATCGGGAGTCAAATATGATATAAACTGGATGTATGGCTCATACTGCATTTATAATATGTGGCTTCTACACAGGTCCTGAGGCTGTTCGAGCAACCAACGTGTTCTACTATCTCACATATGAGGGCTGTGTCGACATGGACAACATTTCTGATCCGGTCATGAAAGAGGTAACTAATATCATACTTCATATATGAATGTGTGGAATGGTCTGGGTTGACTGATTGTTAGCGTATTTAATGATTCAGTTTCCTCTGCAGAGATTATGTAGTGTTAATTGTGATAGGAAGGTTGTGTGGATTGAGAATTGTAAGGATTTAGAAGAAATTGGTCTGTTTTAAGATGGTGTTTTACCATTCATCTGGACAGACAGAAAAACTGTTAAAACCCTCTGTCTGAATAGTTGATAATCCAGATGAGATTTAAACAAGATGCCCTTCACATATTAGTATAGAGCATAATCACTAACTTGCTACTGGACGTCACGGTTGATTGGTTAACACCCCTGCTTTGTATTCGGTAGGTCCCGGGTTCAGATCTCTGCCTGGAGACCGGCTATCCTGACTGGGTTTTTTCTTCCGTAGTTTACCTCAGTCCTTCCAGGCAAAGTATCCTGACTGGGTTTTATCTTCTGTAGTTTACCTCAGTCCTTCCAGGCAAATGCCAGGATAGTACTTTAAATTAGGCCATGACCGCTTCCTTCCATGTATAGTAAATTAAATATTGTCGTAACCATTATTAGATTGAGTAAATGAAATATTGTCGTAACCATTATTAGATTGTCTGCTGTAATGTTATTTGCAGCCAAAGGAAAATTATTTGTTCAGAAGCATTTTGAGATCTACAGTCAGTTTGCTACATTTGCCTGATGCTGTTAGATTCTTTTGAGCTCTGCTTTCAGAGTAATTTTTGTGTTGTTGATATTTATATGTAACACAAAATGATCTTACACTGTTTCTTGCAGGCCATTGAAAATCAGATTCGTAACTTTGGTCAGACGCCGTCACAGTTGCTAATGGAGCCGCATCCTCCCAGAAGTTCAGCAATGCACTTGGTAAATAGAGAATTTACGATGTTCTCAGAAATAAGGAATTAAACTTATGTGGCACACAGTACAAGTTGATAATTTAACCTGTTTAACGCTGTACCAAAAGTGTTCATATATTGCTAGTGTGGCCAACTCAGTCCTTGCTGAAGGATTACGTGCTAAGGAAACATTGTCTGGCTAGCAAACATAAAAACCTATGGGAAGAATAGGGTTCAGGGAACTTCTGAAAATAATTTACCCACAAAGTTCCATGACAAAGTCAGTTTATTTTGTGTAATTAACACATAAATATGTAATAATAAAATGTACCAAAAATATAATTAATGGGTTCTAAAAGTGAAAAGTGCTGAAGTTGCTAGAAATGGTGAAATTCTTGGAGAAGCAGACGTGGACCTGAAGGAATAGCTGTGTGCAGTTATGAGGCTACTCAACTAGTCTGGTGCTGTGCAGACTGTGCATAAGCTGATTTCTGTTGCGAGACTCGGAGGTTCTCGTGGTGGAGATGTTCTTGGTTTTCTGGGTTGCACTACCATGTTGGCTTGTGGGTACAGACCAGCATTTAAGAGGAAAATTCTGCTCCCATCTTTTGGGATGAAGATGAAGGCAGTATGTCTCTTCAGAACACTGGTATGTAGAAGTCCACATGGCATTACAACCCAGGAGACCAAAGCAGTGGTCATAAGAGGTTGTAGAGCATTCAGTGAAAACTGCAGTGTGCACATGTTTTTAGCAGGGATTGACCATAATCCCAACATTTTGATTTAACACCCATAGATTGTGAATTATAGTATTGCTGCATTAACCCATAACGTCGTGTCACAGATGTGATTGTCTTGGGACGGGATGCCAGAGTGCCATACGTTCGATTCATGAACATAGGCTTACAGATTGAAGCTTTGCTGATTTTGTTTGTTCTTAAAATTTGTTCAGACCATATTTTTCTCTTATTTGTAGATTTGTTTTTTAAAAATTGTGTCTCTTGTTTTCTGTGTTGTTTTTTTATCCTTCTGGCTTGAAGCCTTTACCCACAGTAAATTTTACAGTCTGGGAATGTGAACAATACCAAATCCCTCCTCTTTGTGATCATCTTACAAGCAACTAACTGCTGTTTAATAGAAAACAGTGATAATTAGAATCATGAAATTCTCTTGTAGGCACCAGAACTGTTTCTGTACATTTCAGTTCAGAAAACTTAATAAAGGTATTTTTATGATTTTTATAATTTTAAATTATGGAATTATGATTTAACTTAAAATGGCTGAATGTGGTCCACAGCTATTAAAATCAATCTTGAACTTTTGAATTTCAATGTTTTTTGAATGTTGGCCCCAACTTACACAGAATTTGTATCCGTTGCAGTCTCCGATGATGTTCTCTAGTGTGCCAGAAGATGTATGTATGACTATGAAGTTCCTGTCTAACTCTCCAGTGTGCCACATCTCGGCCAACACCTACCCTCAGTTACCACTCCCGTCTGTTGTCACGGTTACCACCAGTCAGCAGTTTGCTGTTAATCGCTGGAATTCAAGCTATGCAGGTATGTGTTGTCTCTTTAGTGTTGGTTGGAGATTGTGTATACACGTGTCTCTGACAGCCAATTCCGTAGAGCTTATTGTGTTCTAGAATGATGTAGATTCTATTTGTGTTTACTTACCCATCGCATTTGAATAGAATGTGTTAATATTTTAACTTTCATATGGATTTCAAATATAATTGCTGAATTAAGTTCAATGAAGATGACTGTGCGATATCAAGAGTTGACTATGCTCCTTCTGGTTATTTGTAATATTATTTTTTAAATATTTACAGCTTCTGTACAGTCTCCAAGTTATGCTGATACACCACAAACACCAACAGCCAATTTGCCACTGTCAATGGACCCTGTTCTTTGTAAGTATAGTTGCAGGGTTTTGTGTTTGATTCATGTTTTTCTTTTTTAAAGAATCCTACCACTTGTCATTTTTGTACAGAGATTGTAACATTTGATCAGTGAATTTTTACATAATGTAATATTGCCAATGCTTGTTGGAAGTTCATTATTAGAATTTAATTTTTGTCTCTTTTGGACAGTTGTTGCTCTTTATACCACACCTCAAATTTGAATTTGGAATTATGATAAGATTTCACTGCAAATTGAAGATAATGAGAATGATGTAAAGAACATTTAATCATGATGCTACCTGTTTCTTGTCCAAACCAAGCTTTATTTTATGAATCTGATAGAAAATAAGACATTGGTCGCCCTCAAACGAATGTTGATTGATCGAACTTTGACTCAGAATCAGTCGTTGGTCCAAATCTTGATGGGAATAAGATGAAGAAGATTTCTTTGCAGTGAATACATTTGTTATTTAATAATATTTATAGTCTGCTAGAGAATAAAATACTTTTCCTTTCAAGGAACCATATTCTTCCTGCCCCCCACCACTAGAAGTTTAGTTGTACCTAGAAGTCTAAGTTATGTGCTTACTAATTGCAGCTCAAACAGGAAACAGTTCAAATCCTATGCAGCGGCGCCATCTGGGCGATAATTTCAGCCAAAAGATACGCATCAGGTCAAATTGTTTTGTTACAACAGTGGATAGCCGTTTCCTCGTCGCGTGTGGCTTTTGGGACAACAGCTTCCGAGTGTTCTCCACCGAGACAGGTACGTAGGTTAACAGACATGGGTATACAACTTGGCCACTTCCTATGGTAGATCTCAAGGGGTTGTGTGGTTTTATGAAATCCAGATTGCATTGGTGTGTCGTGCGCACTACAAAGTTTTAAGTACTTAAGTTTTATCTTTAGAAGCAGCACAGGGTTCAGAAAAACATTAATTGCATTCTTTCCCTTTTCAGTGTTTCTACATCTGTATTTTTATTTTATAATTTTGATCCGGATTAATGGAAATGCACTAATACATAGTAAAATAAATTGTTTCCTGCCCTTGATTCTATTCATGGTTATCACCTAATAAGTAGAATTATTAGAAGTAAAGATTTTAGAGTTTGTGTATGTTATTTTTTTTATGATCATTAGTTTAATTTTTTATTTTTGGTGGGTGGGGAGAGGTGTAATATTTGTGTTGTTATTAATAGTAAACATTTCAACTGAAATGTACTAGAACATAGCATATAAATTAACTGCTTTGATAGCATCAAGGTGAATCTGTAAATACCACATGTTATAGATTAAGGTTATCTAGAACTATTGCTTGAAGACTATAGTTGCCTCATTAATTAACTTGAAGATTCCTGTCTTCTGGGTTGTTGCGCTGCGTAGTCTGGTCGATGTTAACCAACGTTTCAGAGGTCATATTGTCTTCATCGCCCTGATGACGGAGGCAGTATGACCTCTGAAACGTTAGTTAACATCGACCAGACTACACAGCGCAACAACCCAGAGGACAGAAATCTTCATACTCTGATGACGGAGGCAGTATGACCTCTGAAACGTTAGTTAACATCGACCAGACTACACAGCGCAACAACCCAGAGGACAGAAATCTTCATACTCTGATGACGGAGGCAGTATGACCTCTGAAACGTTAGTTAACATCGACCAGACTACACAGCGCAACAACCCAGAGGACAGAAATCTTCATACTCTGATGACGGAGGCAGTATGACCTCTGAAACGTTAGTTAACATCGACCAGACTACACAGCGCAACAACCCAGAGGACAGAAATCTTCATACTCTGATGACGGAGGCAGTATGACCTCTGAAACGTTAGTTAACATCGACCAGACTACACAGCGCAACAACCCAGAAGACAGAAATCTTCATATTCACCGCTGTGAAAACCTCAAATCTTACATTAATTAACTTGTTTTTGTATTTTTACAAAAATTAATCAAAGTACTTTTGTTTTTTGATTCCATATTCATAAAATTGAATGCTCATTTTTATTCCTCATTTCATATTTATTTTGATGGAACGTTAGTGTTTGTTATCATTCAGCCGTAAAGAGAAGATCAAAAAATTTTATTCCTTGTTACAGCTAAAATTGTGCAAATAGTTTTTGGTCACTATGGTGTGGTGACTTGCCTCTCCCGCTCCGAGTGCAACATAACGTCTGACTGTTACATCGCGTCTGGTTCTGCTGACTGCACCGTTTTGCTATGGCACTGGAATGCTCGTACCCAGACCATTGTCGGCGAAGGAGAAGTGCCTACGCCTCGAGCCACCTTGACAGGTCACGAGCAACCAGTGTCCAGTGTGGTGATCTCAGCTGAGCTGGGTCTCGTAGTGTCAGGATCTTACAGTAAGTTGAGTGGTCCACATTTAGGCTTGTGTTCTGTGTAGTACTGTAGTTGCTACAACTTTGGTGGCTGCTTGTTAGACAGTTGCTCACCATAGTCAACTGTGCCATGAAGCTAACAGTGGTCATTTTTACACTAGATTTGCTAATTCACGAAGTGCCATCGTTGAGGTATATAATGAATTAGTTTATTAAAGTATCTTTATTACATTTATTGAATGTGTTTATAGATCTTTTTGGGACACTCAGTATAAAGGTTGGTTTGGCTGAGTGCAAGGGACTCTGTTTCTATTTCTCAGATGGACCAGTATTGGTACATACAACATTTGGCGATCTGCTGCGATCTTTGGAACCTCCGTCTGGTTTTCTGTCACCAGAGAATATTGCCATGTCTCGTGAAGGTATTGTTGTCGTGAACTATGAACGCGGTCATGTGGCAGCATTCACGATCAATGGCAAGCGACTAAGACACGAGTCCCATAACGATAATCTCCAGGTAGGTGAAACGTTAAGAAACCTATAAACTACTGTAATTTTTGTATGTGCGAGGCATTAATTAATGTGTTATCCGAATTTAGTCCCTTCAGGATAATACCCCACATTAGGCAAAGACCACTTTCTTCTACAGGTATACCTCGTTTTTTACAAATCAAAGGTTTGTGGCAACCCTGCGTCGAGCAAGTCTATCGGCGCCATTTTACCAACATCGCGTGCTCACTTCGTGTGTGCGTTCCACATTTTGGTAATTCTCGCATTGTTTTTTAAGACATAATTCTATTGCACACTTAATAGAATACAGTGTAGTGTAAACATAACTCTTATATGCACTGGGAAACCAAAAAATTTGTGTGACTCGCTTTATTGCGGTGGTCTGGAATCGAACCCGAGGTATGCCTGTATATCCTTTCCAGTTTATTATTCAATAATCATCCTGTCGTTAGGCACTGTATACTCAGAGCTGTTGACATTGTCATCATATAAACAACAGATATAATGCATATTCCAAGTTCGAAAGGTTTATTAAAAAATATTTGTATGATTGTCTCTGGTACAAAATTGATTGAACTATTTATAAATGCATTCAACAACTATTAATGTATTTTAGAAAATAAAATTAACTTTTCATGTCAGTTTTACGTAACTGAAAGAAAAAGTTGCACTTGGGAATACGCTGGGTTAAATCAGCATGTTAAAAAATGCTCATCATGACTAAAATTGTCATTACATACATGGATACATTGCAGATTACAGTTGTATTTTTCATTGTTTCCATAATGGATGGAAGTAAACTCACCTCAGTAAATGAGAATGCTTATGGTGCTATATTCTAGTAAATTAACTAATAAAATTGAATGTTCATAAATATAAGTGTACAGTCAATGCTTCAGGTTAGAAGTGAACATTACATTCATACAAATACAGCAAATAAAATTAACGTTGATTCTCGAGGGCGTCATGTTAGTCCAGACATCCATTCGTGTATTGCCCAGCTTTAAGCTTTTCATGCATTTCCCTCTTGTTACCAGAGTGGAGGTGGATGTAAGCAGTACAATAGTTAGATTTTTTGGCAGAGACCGATTTTATCTGTCGTGAGAGAGTGCTGAAGTCTCTGGTTAATAAACAGAATGGTGAGGTCATATAGCAGCTCATTTTGTTGATTGAATAGCTCCATTTCTTGCCAGATACACGTTCTTATCGGTTCAGATATAGTTACTAAAACAAAGTAGGAACATAATTATGTTTGCGTGCGGCTAGTGTTTGCTGCTGAGTCGAGATGGAGAATACCTGATGACCGGTGGTGACAAGGGCATTGTGGAAGTGTGGCGCACCTTCAACCTGGCTCTGTTGTATGCTTTCCCTGCATGTGACAGCAGCGTGCGGTCCTTGGCACTTTCACATGATCAAAAGTGAGTTCTGATTTTGTTTAAAGAATTTCATAGCTTGTATGAACACTTAACCTTGCCAATGCCTGACATTGCATATGAAAAAATGCTACGTATTTTGCTTTAATTTGCAAGCATTGACCATTTTGTTGTGCATTATCTTTCTCTGTTTTTGTAAAAGAATGTAATTTTAAGGTAAAACTCTGAACTTATTATGAAGGTTAGGTTATTATGTATGTGTATAAATAAAAATTACCAACATGCCGATCAGATAGTCAGTATATATACAAAGCTCTGTTTTACAATTTTGTATTTACTTAAAACTGAAAAACATTGCCACAGTCATTGAAAGATGCTCAAACATGAAACTTTTGACATCATAGCAGACGTGAGATATGTACATCTTCAAATTGCCAGACCAAATGGCAGCACTATGCATGTCAAGAAGGAAGCATTTTTGTAGCTCAGGGAGTAATATTGAGTGTCATCGTGAACAGAAAAGATTACTGTATGGTCTGAAATTTCACGGTAAACAGTAATGTATGAACATTCATTTGCAGCTGAATGTCACAGCAGTAGGGTTAAATAGCTGCAGATGCCATGTTATGTGCAAGCATTTTTTACTTACTTTTTTATCAATTTTGATGTAGCCTTTTACCTTCTCCATGCGGCGATGGTTACATTCTGCACTACAGAACGGTGGATACATTGAACATGAAGGTTATGGTAATAAACATTGGTCCATTATTGTGTACAGTCAATTTTGGCTCTTAAGTTTAATTCATAAACTATGTGTGGCAACTAATTTGGCAAGTGGTTTTTTATCATAGTCGTCGGTACCAAATATATTGACGTATTTGATGGAAGCCTATTTGCGCATGCTTCCTGTTAATTACAAACATGTTCAGCAACAAAATAATAAGAGTGATAGTAGAAATGTATTGGATATGACTGCACTAAAAATATTTTCCTTTATTCTGACATTGTACAGAATGTAAACTTAGGTTTTAACCTGTCCATGAAGACTACTACAAAGTTATTCACTTAGATAACATGAAATTGTTTTATTGACATAATTTCTGAAATGAAATATAAAATGATGCTCTCCAGAATTTTCTCTGATTGGTGAGGCAATATTTATGAGATGTTGTGAAATAAATATGATCTTAATGCCTAAAATAGAAATCACCATGTACTTTAAAAAATCCAAGAGGTTCCCAACATTTCTTCTCATCTTGCGCACCACTGAATTAATAATGATGACAGTTTGTTGAAACTTTATGACAATTTATTAAATTGTTGTTTTTATTAATTATTCACTTAAGACATGTAAATATTAACTTTGATAGCAAGATTTTTATCATACACGGTGATCAGTACTACAAAAATGTACACAGGCCACACAAAACACATCTGTGGGATGTAGAGTGAGAACCCCAGGAGTACATCATTTTATTCAGAATTGCGTCAGTTTGTTCGGGGGTAAGGGTGGACATTCTGTAGAATTACACTTAACTGATACCATTCCTGTTGGCTGCAATGGGCCATTCCCTTAGTTATGTTTATTTATAGAAATAGGTCACTACATTGTATAATTCTTGATTCAAAATTCCTGTTCTACACTCTGTTTTAGGAAGCTTTTAAAGGATAATAGGTATCTTTAGTTTTATTTACTAAATAAATAAAACGCGAACAAAAAAGGTTGAATACCACTGGTCTAGATCATCTGTTAAGAAGTAACTGCTTCTGGACACGGAACATATCTTTTTTGCTCCGCTTATGTGGAAGTTGGTTATCATAGATTTTGTTGTGTGATTCAGGTTCCTACTGGCTGGACTTGCCACTGGATCTTTGGTTGTATTTCACATTGACTTCAATAGATGGCATCATGAGTTCCAACAGAGGTACTGAAGCATCGACGTCTTGTCCGGGCTGTATTTCAGGATGAACAGTTGCCATGACATGTAGCTTGTTTATCATTGGCCAGACAGAATTTACTTGGATGGTGCTCATTTTCAGATACTTGAGCTGTCTTTAATTTTCTTAAGTAGAACCAACTGACGCTGTACTTAATTTGAGTTTATGTATTTTTATCACTAGTCAATAATAATTTCTTAGCCAAAAGTCTTTATTTTCTCACCCCATATTACAGAATTGGAGGTGTTTGATATCTTAGCAGTGTGGTTAAGGTGCATATGTTAACAGTTCTGCTAAACACTCTTGTAGAAAATTGAAACAAGGAAGTATTTTTCAGTGACCATGCTTAACATGCCTTTCTCTTTGCTCACTGATTTGACTAATCGTTGCCTCTCAAATAAAGTGCACCTGCCTTCCAGGACTGTTTTTATGTATTCTCTGCAGAATTGTGTGTAACATCTCTTTAATATTAATTGAAGGCAGCCTGTTGTGTGATGATTCAATTAATGACAAAGGATCCATCAACACTACTGGGGACAGATTTTTGTCATTCATCGTAGCCTCGGCCTGTTTTCAGTTATTGTCGAACAGGACACGAAGTAGTACCAGTACGTAATCGTCTGTAGTCGGCACACTGCGTCTTACTTCTGGATACAATAATATAAAAATAAAATCATTATCATCATTGTGACACAAGGGCTTAAAAATATATGTAATGTGAGGGCTGCTGCACCATTCAAGTGATATATGTTAATTCTGTGAAAAAGCATAAAGATTAGATACCTTAAAATATATCTGAAAGGGGTTTCAGTAATGATTTGTTAATGCTGGTAGTGGATTTTCTTTATACAAACAATAAAACGTGAAATTGTGGTTTGTCAGCTGTTGAATATATTTTGAAGGTCAGTTCTTTTCTGAATTAATTATATTATTACTAGATAACTGCAGTTAATATAAGAACAGATTATACTCTGGACCGTCTAATCGTGAATTTAAGACGGTTATGTTTTGCCATTTCGTGTTACAGTGTCGTTACTCGCATTATAAGCTTAGAGGCATTGTCGGCATGGTCAGTGGAATATACTTAAACAGTCTTTGTATTTAGTGTACAGTAATACTTAACTAATATTAGAAGATATTTTTATTGGACAGCCTTCTTTGCCTCACAAATATTTTTTCTTAGTACTTTGTTATAATTATTTAATTGTTATTGTAAGTGCATTGAATATATTAATGCATCAGTTATAATTAGATAAGTTATGTTTACTTAAGGAGAGTGAGATAAGTAATGGCAGTGACATTAACTTACATCATCACTATTTGTGTGTTGTGTGGGGCTGAAATCATTAATTTTCTTCATTAAATTTCAACCAGATGACTTTTATGTTGTGAGAATGTAAAGTATAACTGGTTCATTCAGTAATATTTTACATGTAATAAAATACAAGTTTAATGTGATCTATGAAGTAGGGCATTTTATATGCTTGTTAGCATAAGTGAATTTTATGAGTCAAAGAAATGAGGTGATGATGATGACTATTATTATTTAACCATTATGGCATATGGCCCAGATGATTGTTTGCCCATATTTTCCTAACAGATTTTTTAATTATGTGTTGGTTTATTTTTTACTAATGCCTGTTCACATGGCTGCTGCATTTCTTGTCCAAAGTAATGTGTCACCTTAATTTGGGCATAAATAACTAAATATTATTTTAACCTTTTCCTAATATGTACTGGATGGTTTTTAGACAGGTATTTGATTCATATTACTGTTAATAAGTCAGTAGTTTTATAATCAATCCCTCCTATTTTGCAGCATGTTAATTGATACTGTTTTCGTTGTGGTGTAAAAATTGTTGATTGCAGCGAGACATGATATAATGACTTTAGGGTATGGGCACATAGAAGTGACTAGCTGATAGAATTTGTAGTACATCAATATTTTTTTTAAGTTATGCCAATTTAGAAACCATTCTTGCAGGTTTGTTATGGAACTGCGGTAACGAAAGTAACGTACCAAGTGACGTTTATACATTCCAGATGCTGTGATTTCTTTATCAAGTCTGACTGAAATTTCTTGTTGTAATGGTGGCAAGTCTTGTTAACCGTAATCGTGATTGAACATGTAATACTCGACAACACGCATCGTTTTAAATGTATATTATCAAATGTAAAAGAAATCTTAATCATACTTATAATTTTGAAACTTCCATTAAGGATTTCACTGTATGTATCTGTGATTAGATATTGGCCATCCTGATGCTTTTTATACAACAGCACTATTTAATTCTTATAATCACCATATTATTTAGTTCTGGGGCAAACTGCTGCCTTGAATCAATATTAAACACATATGTCAGGGTTTTCATGTTCAGTCCTGAATTCTGGTTTGCTCTGGCTTCGTCCTCATAAGAAAGGATGTTGAGATCAAAATTAAAAAGTATTACAATCTGTACTTAAAAATATCTGCCAATGTACATAATTACTATTGCTTAATTTTCAGAACATGAAATGAATTTTATATAGAGACTATATTTATCCACAATTTTTATGTTCTCCCATGAAATAATTCAGCTAGAGTAGGAGGCAGGAAACGTGTGATTGAATAGTACTGTTTCATAGCGGCACCATAATACTAATTCATTGTTGATATATTGGCACATAAAAGTTGCAGTTTGTAGGCAGTGTCCTAGCACATGGGTTCACCAGTTTGTTATAATAGATTTCATAGCACATTATGTGGGTATGGAAAAGTACTTACAACTATTTTGTGATTTTTAGAGGTTGGCTTTTAATTAATCAACCAAATTGTTTGCTCAGAAAAGTTGCAAATGAAGCACTGTGTCGCATGATGCTGCCACACTTAATCGTAGATCTGTCGCCGCAGCGTCCGACACAATACGAGACTCGACTCCCACGCACCTTCCTCCGACTGTGCACGAACAGTGTGACTTTTCCATCTGCCAGGATTCATAATTGCAGTGACAGTGTGTTGCCAATGAGAAATGGAGTGTGTGGAAGTATGTGGAAAAAGAAGTTTATTTGACGGGCAGCAGGTAACGAGCATAATAAGCACCTGGATGAGGCGTGGCTACCAGTGACTATTTATGTTTCCTGCCAGAAGATTGTGGACTGCTGCTTTCCTCCTGTCAGATATAGCAGTAAAATCTTGCATTCGATGCATGACGCATCAACCATCTAGTCACTCTAATGTGCGCACTTGCTCGGCTTCATTTTTGAGTAATTCCCTCCAGACTGATGAAGAATTTATGTAAATTATGTATTGTCCATTTTACATTGCAAAAAGAGAACTTCTCATTGTAAATAAGAGAATGAAAGTGTCTATCGTAGAGCGCAGCACAGAATTTCTTTTCGACTTTATTTTTTGAATTATAATTTTGTATACGTGAGTTTGATGTCGGCAATAACAATCGAAACAAAAAAGTAATCCGGTCCATATTTTGTCAGCCAAGTAATGAAGATGTACGTTTTGTAGTACTTTGATGTGCATGTTGTAATCTGCAGACGTGACTACCTGTGTTTAGTGTTTAAGGAATGCTTTTGTTAACCAAGATAGCGCCACTACCTGGAAAAATTATTAACCGATTTCTTCCGGAGACTGAAACATTAAATCTAGAAACATAATATTCTTTGTAGTTTCAGAGAGATTAGGTGGAATGGTACCCATAGTGATGTATTATGCAGAATAGTTTCCAGTACTTGCCTTAGAGCAAGTAGAAGATTTGGTTGCAGGTGATGTAGTCAGGAATCTGTCTGTCCATGTGTCAGAATTCAGACAACCCCCTGAGAGGGTACACAAACAGAAGAATAATACTAAGTACAGAGTAACAATAATTTAAGGCTTTTCATAAAGTGTGTGTGTGTAATGTTTCCTAGCTCCACATCATTGTTGGTTCAAGTCCTGCCTGTACTTAAGTACGTGTAGTTGTATAATTTATGGAAATTAAGAAAAAATATATATTGTATTGGGGACTTGTAATGCTATTTATACTACATTCACTGTAACTCCGATTTGAACTTTATTGCACATTTTGCTTCTCAGAATTAATTTCTCATTGCCATTTTTGTACTGTGTTCCTATACATGTCTTGGTCTACCAGATTTCCTATTTTCACGAGGTTTTCCAACCAAAGTACATGCACATTTATAAATGTGTTTTGCATTCTAAAGCAAATATTGTGTTCTGGTAATGAAGGTACCAGTGCATTTCAGAATAATTAAGCTTCTGCAACTCTTGAAATTGCCAAGAAATCCTGCTCATTATCTCCAGAAAAGTCCCCCGTTCTCTCTTTCTTCCCAAATTCAACCTGTTTCTTCCCAAGTAACACCATTTCCAACAAGGAAGACAATGCTAGAATTGAAATAAATAAAATAATAAAAATACTCGTGTTTCAATTTCGTTGTGTTCCTGCTGTTTTCATTTCTGGTGTTATGGCAGTATTGTTTTCTTATGTTCTTACGGATGTAGCCAAACCTGGGCCAACTTGGCTATTTCTTTTGTTCCAACATTAAATATCGTGTTTTCACTTAGCCTGAGAAGTAGAAGTGTGAGAAACAATACCATATGAATATTTAAATACTGATAAATATAACAGCGAAGGTATTGCTGCACAGTCAAGTTTTTTAAATTTAAACATTTGCCGGTTATTCTGTTTACCAATGACACAACAGTAATCAGACGTGCCAATCCCGCCGAACGAAATGTGAAAAAACGTTGCCAAAGTCTTTACTAACGGAAGCTGTGAGTGGGATATTTGCTTGTGTCCTTCAAAGTGTAAAGTAAAGTAAAGTATTGACTGAGCTATCCCGGCTCCCTTCAAAGTGTAAACATGCTTTGTAGTTGTGATATGTGTTATGTTGTAGTTCGTAAATATGTGGAAATATTACGAAAGTGATTGATTTTGCCACCATTTCAGTCGTGTGTTTAGTAGGCCGGAGTTGAATCGTTCAAATATTCATCTTCACTAGTGGCAAGTAAAAAAAAATTATTACATTTGATGATAGAACTGCAACTTCTGGTTCAGCAAAGTTGCATCTAGTAGTCAGAATGGTGTTTTGATTGACAGGAAGAGGAGAAGAAAACGGTAGATGTAAGTAGCGTAGTGTGCAATTTTACAAATTATAACTGTTCCACGTTACTGTAATGAATGGCATAGAGAGTCTTGCAGTGTGTCTGAGCTAAGAGGGGAACCAAGATACATCTGCCCTTCATGTTATTGCTAAGGAACTACTTGGAGTCTTGAGAGCAGAGGTTGATACTTGATAAGTGGTAGAGTTTGTGTGAATCATGTATTGCTTATAACATTAGTAATTATATATAGGTATAGATGTGAGGGACATAGTGGTGTCTTGGATGGATCATGTATAGTATGACTAGGATCCATGAGGGTGTATTATCATAAGTCACCAGTAATGTAATGCATATGTAGCCGATGTTGTGTTTAATAGAAATTATGATGGTCCGCTTTACTTGTAGATTCTTGCCATGTATGCATGACATGGAGCAGGATATGATGGAGTGCATATCCATAATATACAGGGGCTTTCTGACACAGTTTAGTTTGCAACTGCGGATAATACGCAGGTACAAGGTAAGTATAACTGTTGCTGATAAATTTCTATCTTCACATTGGATAAAATTGTCATCCTAAGTAGTCTGTGATATGACTTGCTTCATCGTAACATAGAAGTTTACTCAAGATGTCACTGATCATTGAAATTTCTCTATTACATTAACAGAAGTAAAGCATGGCAGATTAAAATGGTTACTTAAGATTTATTTTCATCTTCATTTGCTTCTTTAGACTCGTCCATCAACAAATTTAAGTTTCCTGTTTTCTGCGGCATACAAATGTAAGGCAAATATAATTAGTACATTATATACAGTGTCTTGTTTACAGGCTCACTCCATGTGTACACAAAGGCAGAAAACACTGAGTTTAGTGCAGCACTGTTGCCAAGATTTGTCAAGTCTGGAGATCAGGGCAACCAATGGTATCAGGCTATTGTTTTGCTTCCCAGCATGAATGAGTCTTTTCAGGTATGTTAACAAAACTGTCTACTTCTAAAAACTCTTAATAAAATGCCCATATTTAAATAAAAGGTTTTTTGGATGTTAGCCATCGTCTAATAAAATAATAAAATTGAATGACTTTTGGAGATAGAGTCCCATCTCCAAAACGTC